CTTAAATAAAGAAAAGATCACCTGACTCTTTCCAGAATGATCTTTGTCATAGTGTCCCTCATTCTCAACGTATTCTTCGGCAGCATTAGCACACTCTTTACCAACTTTGAGGATAGAATCTTTAGAAGCGTGGGTGTCTTTTGAATTGTGGGACGACGCTCCTTCCGTATTCATTATTTATTAGATTTCTACCTAAAAAGAGAGATTTATCCAATATATCTGAGAAAAAACAACAAACGAGGCATAACGACGCAAAAAAAAAACCATCAATTATGAAGTTACTACACCTAACCTATTCTTAAACTGAAAAAGGCGAAAAGCTGCAAAGGGGTGAAGGATGCAACAACGGTGAAAACTACATGGATGGCATCCACATGTCTACGAGATTTACATAAATAGATAGGAGAAGAGTAGACCAGGAGCTATGAACGTAAAACATGAGCGAAACCGGCTTTGAGCAACTGTGATATTTTCCTATTTCTTCTCCTCTACGTGCAAATGACCGTGAGTTTGTGGATGCTCAGCGGCCATTTCTTCATCAATCTCTTCAAGGAATGTCTCCTGTTTGACTGCGTGAATAGTATAGTAGTAGATCCCCACAACAACAGAGATTAGCACTCCAAAGGCAATATGATTTTTGTAGTTTTTGGCAAAGATCTCCTTTACTCGCTCTTGATTGACCTGAAACAAAAAAGTTCGATTCTCAACTAAAGTTAATAATCTTATCGAATGAATTTACAAGAAGTCGTAGATTAAACGATATTGATTAAAAAAACAATTTAAATGCCAAATTATCATTATACTGACCAGAAGACACAAAATCTCCAATGCATTTTTTTTTGTGAATTACACCGACGGTGAGAACAACAAAGGCTTGCATTTAAAACGAAAGTGGCGTACATCAAGAACGAGAGTTCGTCGAGAGTTTTCGAGGCACATCGCCAAAATGACAAAAATATTTGCCTGATAGTTTTGATCGTTTGTTCACACCCATCGAAATTTCGCAACCCACCTATATGGCTATTGAGACTTCCTTCCTTCCCTGAGAAACAATATGAAAGGTTCAATCGATCATCCCAAACATAGATATAATTATACAGTGAAAAAATTTTGACTATTGCGAGAAACTTCCAGAGATTTTATAATATTATATC